ATTTTTCTGAGATGTGCCTTTGTCATTTGAAAAACATTTTCGAGGTTGCTTAGTTGTTGAATGTTTTCTTTTTGTGTGCTTTTTTTGCTGTCCATTTCAGGTGAATTCTAAACAATTGACAACATCAAAGAAGTGTCTTGCTTTTTTCTGTATTAGTTAAGTTTTAGAGTTTCTTCTTCTGTCCTACGTTCACAAGTTATTTTCTTGTAGAAGTCATGGGGCCTTTCTGGACCTTAATTTCTGTACGTTTTTTAGATGGAATAATATCTATCTGACATAATTTTTGAAAGTTTGCAGGATAAATCCAGAAGTGTTAAATAATACAAATTCTCTTCTTTTTTTTTTCCTTCTTCCTTTTCGTGTGTAAGTACAGTGCTTTATTTCAGCCTGATGTATCCAATTATTGCAGCAAACCTGGAAACCTTCTCAAAGTGTTGGTTGCCTAATTTCCAGGTAGTTAGGCTAGGTTATTAATCTTATTCTGTATATAACTGCCTTTCGGCACTTTCTAAAAATAGATTGCTGTTTGTTTAGTGCTGCTATTATTCTCAGTTGCACAAGCTTAGCTTTCTTTATGAAGATGGATCCCCTGGTGCATAACTAAGTCTGAAATCAGAAGTGTGCAAATCAGATGTATAATATCCTGTAAGGTTTCCTGCTGTGTTTTGCTTATCTTAAAAAATTCTTTCAGTGTTCAGAATTTGAGATCATACGTGATTAACATCACATACTGATTTGCCACAGAAATCACATTCTAGAATTCCTGTTTTAAGTGTCACTTTCCTTGAAATGACTTATTAGCCTTATATATGTATTTTCACATTTTGAGAGTAAATTGGTGGTTCAGAAATTGTCCCTAGCTTATCCTAAACCTTTTAGCCTCCAAATTTTCTTATAAAACAGGTAGCTATCTCTACTGTATTTGTCTTTCCTATAAAAACACTGAAACTTTGTTTTCTGTTCTGGATTTTTAGTATCTCTCCAGTCTAGCAATACAGGTCATAGGCAAGTATAGAATTACATACATTCATAATGTTAGAGATTAAAAAATTACTTTTTTGTTTTTCCTTCTTTACTGTTGGATCATGCTTTTGATGTAATTTTTTTTTTTTTTTTGGGAAGTTTGAGTGGGTGGCAGGCTTATGTAGAGAGAGAAGAGAAGGAAAGTGACAGAGGTCCTTTATTTCAGAAGTGTTTGTGATGATGGTGCGTTTGCCTTTGGTGATGCTTTGTACTGGATGGCTGGTCACTGACACTGGTTGGAACCATGTGAGTTGGAACCTCTTGTCCAAACCAAGCCCGGTTAGAGCAGGTTGCTCAGGGCTTTGTTTAGTCTCCATGACCTCACAGGTTAACCTGGTCTACTCTTGGGCACCCTCATGGTAAAAAATAAATTATTTAATTGAATTCTCTTTGTTCCAGCTTGTGTCCATTGCCTCTTGTCCTTTTGCTGTGCATCTCTGTGGAGAGTTTGGCTTTATCTTCTCTGTGCCTTCCCATGAGGTAGTTGAAGACAGCAAAAAGATCTCCCCTCCCCCCTTTTTAAGGCTGAATGAACCCAGCTCTTTTAGCTTCTCCTTATATGTCATGTACTTGATCCCCCTGGCTATCTTGACAGCCCATCACTGAATTTGCTCTAGTGTGTCAGTGTCCTTGTTACACTGCAGAGCCCAGACCTGAATGCAGTACTCTGGTTACAGTTTCATCTGGAGGTGCCATGTGGAGGGGAAGAGTCCCTTCTGACTGCTGGCTAACCTTTTGCTAATATGTCATGTGGTTGGCCTTCCTTGCCTTGGGGGTGCACTGCTGACCCATGTTCAATTTGCTGTCCACTGGGAACCCCAGGTCCCATTGAAGAGCTGCTTCTTAGACAGTCATCCCCCAGCCTGCACTGCTTCATGGGTTTATTTGGGCCCAGGTGTTGAATTTTGCCTTTACTTTTGTTGAATTTGATAAGGTTCTTGTCAGCCCATTCCTCCAGCCTGTCAGGCCCTTCTGAATAGCAGCCCTGGCTTCCAGTGTATCAGCTGCTTACCTCAATTTGGTATCATCTGCAAAATGGCTGAGGGTGGTTGGTCCCAACATCCAGATTATTAACAAAGACATTGAGCAGTTTTGGCTTCAGTACTGATTGCTGAGCGATGCCAGCAGCTGTTTTTGTACTGCTAGTCATCACCCTTTGACCCCAATGGTCCAACTGGTTTTCCCCTCACCTTCTTGTTCATTTATGCAATCCATGTCTCTCTAGTCTGGCTGCAGGGACCTTGTGGGAGACCATGTCAAAGCCCTTGCAGCACCTATTGCTCTCCCCTTACCTACACAGCCAACCATTTCACTGTAGAATACAGCTGGGCTAGTGGGGCACAATTTGCCCTTGGTAAATCCATGCTGGCTGTTCACCTTCTTCTCATCACGTAGCTGGGAATGAATTCCTGAAAGATGTGATCCATAACCTTGTCAGGGCTTGAGGTGAAGCAGACTAGCCTGTAGCTCACCAGATCATCTTTGTTGCCCATCTTGAAGATAGGTATGATGTTTTTCCCGTCATTTGGAACCTTTCTCGTTCCATGACCTTTCAAAGATAATGTATAGTGGCCTAACAGTGACATTGGCAAGGTCCCTCAGCACCATCAGATTCATCCTGTCTGATCATATGGACTTCTACATATACAACTGGCTTAAGTGTTCCTTAATCGTATCTTCCTCAGCAATGGGAGGTGTTGCATTCCTACAGATTGTGCTGGTAGAGTTGGATAACTGGGAAGGTCAGAAGGCAGAGCTTACTAGTGAAATCTGGAGGGGCAAAAAAAATGGATCAAGTTCTTCAGTTTTTCCTGTGTCCTTCCTTTGTCACTAGGTTCCTGTCTCATTGAGCAGCGAGCCTGTGTTTTCCTTGGCATTCCTTTTGCTGCTAGTGTAAATAAAGAAGCTCTCTTGAAGTACTTCTGCATTGCTCTCCGATGCTATCATAAGGGCAGCATCCTTGGGTGACACATCTACATCTCTATTGGGACAATCAATAGAAAAGGTCAAGAATTGCTAGTTGTCCATTGTGTGGTTACCACCTGTCTTACCAGAAAAACCTTCAAAGATATTACAAAGAAAATGTTTAACATACTTCAAAGCTCTATTGTCCTTTTATCCTCCTCTGTTACTCCTTGTTAATACTTAGAAAATGTTAAACACAGTCAGCAAATGTTCAAACTTAAGCAGTTCTGTGTTCCTGAGTCCAACCATTCTACATTATATTCTGCACTGTAAGCAACCCCATGAGTATGAAAGTCCTGAAGAAAAAAAGAAAAAGTCATTTATCAGAATGTGCAGAGGATTTTGCATCTTTAAACTACAGACCTCTTATGAATACTTGCTCTTTGCAAACTTTTTGTCCAGGAATGGATGCTCTGTATTTATCATTGGTTTTCTGTTGACATCGCGTTCTTGAAAGGCTGAGAAATTAAATTGCCTTCATATGTGAAAGAATGTCTGTACTTTGTATCCATTACACTGGTATCATAGAGCTTTACTACTGAACTCCATGATTCTTGCAATATCTCTCTTACTATCAATTTATGGTTACTGCCTATTATTGCAAGTGATTTTTGACAGATTTTTTTTGCATCTACAGCTAATTGGGGAAGAGGAAAGTTAAAGCATCTTTTAAGCAATAGATCTGTACCTATCAATGTAGGTTAGGTTATGGTTCCCTGCAGATTTCTTTGGTATCCTTAGTGCCTAAAACAATCTCAGTTCCTGGATGCCCCTTACCTCTGCTGTGCTGTGACAGTGGTGCTATGATGGTGTGGTTGAACAGAAAAGGGAACTGATAGGGTTGAAAAATAACTTTATCCCTCCCCTGCTGCTCAAGGTATTTTTGCCCGAGTTGGTTTCCTTCCCCAGGATTGCTTTCAGTGAAGAAACAGACACACGCAGGGTGCAGAACAGGAGCCAGAACCCCCAGCTTTTAGGAAGTGTGAGGGGTGTGTAAACCTGTTCACATAGTGCTGCATCAGAATGTGAAAATGCAGCCTCACTGTGGTGATGCGGGTGATGTACTGGAGCTGATGGTATCAAAGCTGCAAGATAAAAATCTATTTTGCATAGAAGCCTGTCTGAAAGAATAATTAAGCAACGGGGAAAGTAAAACAACTAAAAAATATTTCTGTGTCAGATTTTTATGAGTACTTGTATCCTCTTAACAATATATGTGATGACTCTTAATGAACAACAGATTAGAAAGCTCAGGAGCATTCTTTTTAATTTACTTAAATATGAGTCTGGATGAAGGCAGTGATTCTGAGTGCATTTGAATTAATTTGCATTTTTTTGTGTGAATGCTGCTGTATGTGGTAAGTTGATTGCAGTTGTGATGGTTTAAGCATTTGTAAGATGAGGCTTGTATTATTTCTTTCAGACCAGTTTAACTAGGGAAAAAGAATGTAAACTTCAGGTCCTCATGGAAAAACTCCTTGGTCCTGAACCAAACCTTGGGTTGATTTAGGTTTCGTGTTTAGGGTGGTTCTTGGAAACACAGAAAGAGATGGGATCTCAGTAGATGAAAGACTTGTAAAAGCTTCTGTGTGTTGTAATAGAAACATTAAAGTCTCTACTGCTGTATTCTGGGGGTGGTGGGGAGTTCTTCTGGCAATCCAGTGATACATCTGAAAAAGATGCTCTCCCAGAAAGGTTGTCCTTCATGTGGCCAGTAAATGCATCTGGCATTTGTGGCGAGTTGATCATGGCTGGATGCCAGGTGCCCACGAAAGCTGCTCTGTCACTCCCCCTTCTCAGCTGAGGAGGAAATATGACAAAAGCTGGGAGAGAAAAGGTGACAAAAGGCTTGTGGGTTGAGATAAGGACAGGGAGACATCATTTACCAATTACCATCACGGGCAAAACAGACTCAACTTGGGGAAATTAATTTAGTTTATTACCCATCAAATCAGAGTAGGGTAATGAGAAATAAGAAAAAATCTGAAATCTAGTTCATCTTTTTTTTAAATTGGCTTTTTAAAAATTGCATGTAACTGCTCACAGCTATATGTTAGATAGACCTGTTTAAGATGTCCATCTGCTTTCTAGGGCTCAGAATGGCTTATCCCCCTTAGTGAAACAGCACCGAAGGGAGCTTACAGTGAGAGGAAACATGATTTGTCATTGCTAGTGAAATCTGCTCCATCGTGCTGCCTTTCTTGGGCAGAGGCATAGCAATTGACTTCTGTTGGCTCAATATCTTTGGGACAGGTCTGCTTTTTTGAATGTTTTCACCTTCTAAGTATGAATGTGTCTTGCAGATTAAAATGGTTTTGGTAGTATACATAGTAAAAATTGCAACATAGAAGTTCCAGCTATAAAATAGAAACTTTGCCTGTGTGACAGATTACGTGTTATCCCTGTTTAAAAAAAAAAAATCCTGTCTAGAATCAGATCCCAAGTGACCTTTCTGATTAAGTAACTCGGGCTAACATGTTGGAATACTTCCAGAGCTGCATTTTTGGTAGGACCGAGAGTACTACTTGGAGTGGAGGTTGATCCCAAGCTGAGTGAGCAGAGCTGGGATGCTAAGACTATTCTTCCATGGACAACTGAGCTGGTCAGTAGCAGTGGACTGGATTATTGCAGAAATAGGTTGTTGAGATGGTAAACTTTGTAAAATATCTGAAGACTTGTAGAGAATGCAACAGAAGAGCTGGTAGCATTGGTGCACGTGATAGAAATCTTAGCATCTGAGAAGTCTTAGTAGGTGCAGGGCCACAAAAATGGACAGTTGCAATGTCAGAAAAAAATGTGCCAGGAAGATGAGTTAATGCCTGCAAATTCCTTCTTTAGAGAGGGAGTTCTGAGTGGTGGGGATGGATTTTTCTCAAAACGAAAACAGAACCAGTCTTGGAGCACCTAGAGGTGGGGGAGGCTGATACATGTGGCTAAAACTAAAAAAAATAAATAAATTTTAAAAAGTCCTGTACTGAAGTTGGTAAAACTAAGGTAGGATCTGATGTAGAACATCATGTACAAATAGTGTGATTTAAACAGAAAAAGAACCAAAAGAAGCCCCATAGAAAGAAAAGTGTTTGCTTTCTTTGTGTGAAGAAACCTAGAAAAATACTTAAAACAAAATGAGAGAACTGGAAACTGACAGAATTAATTAATTCAAAATTAGGTAGAAGAAAATCATTAGAGGGACATTATGACACATTGAGACTAAAGAGGGGCATTGTTGGAGAATCAGTTGTGTTGATTGAAGAAGTACCTCAAGTTCCATAGAATGTTCAAGTCAGATCAGGCTTAAAAAGCCCCAAAAATTAAATGAAATCCAGGTAGATTCAAGGACTATGTAAAAAATGTGTCATTGGAATTGCATTGCCAGTTACTTGACCAGGATGATGACTCCTGTAACCTCCTAAGAGAAACTCTCCGAGCTGCGGGGATAGCAGACACAGATACTGAGGGAAGTCTTGGTGCAACACTACTTTCCAGTCCTCCTTCTGGAGGAAAACATTGTGCAGGAAAAGAAGTGGCAATGTGCTTGGGCAGCTCCCTTCCATGTGAAATTGGGGCTCTGGGATGTGCTTGTCCTGCAACATACAGTGGGTGTTGTTGGAGAATCTTGCAGTGCGTTCATGAAGTGCGTAGTGCCCGGCGATAATGCTGAATTTCTAAACCTGAAGGAAATCCGTCTGATACAGAAATGCTTAATTCAAAAAAAGGACTACAGAAAATGTTAAGAAACTCTTTGAAAAGAAACTAAAAGATGCAGCCATAGTGTAAAATACTTGCAGACAGCTTGGGAGTTATTTAAAGAAGCTGTATTGGAGGCTTACAGGACTTGTGTGCTGCTTATTTAAATAGACTTTAAAAGGCCCCCGAAAACGGTGGCATGGCTAAACAGCAGGGTGAGAGGAGATGTCTTAAATAAAACATAATCCTTCTTGAATCTGAACTTTTGTCTGAATTATTAAACCTGTAATTCTAATGAGGCAGGCAAAAAAAAAGTAAAATTTGTGAATAACTCCCAACCGGCATAAAAACTATTAAATATTTCTTCAAAGTTAGCAGAAAAGTTTCTAGAGTATCTGTAGGGTCAGTAGACATCTGAATTGTAAAACGTGGCTTTGGAGAATTGCTTGCACCCACTTTGACAACACTTACAGAGGTCTTTATGCCAGAACATTTCTTCAGAAGGAATGTGATAGAGGATATGACTCAAAACAAAACATCAGTGGAAGAAATTGCAGTACCTTAAACAGTGAACAAAGCAGCAGGATCCTACGGCATTCATGCAAGTGTTGTAAGGGAATAAAGGAGGTAATGACTGTAGCGTGTTACAGTTAGCCTTGTCTTTCTGCTACAGGTAAAGAAGGGGAGCTAGTATGATACTAGCTTTTTAAAAAGGCAGTGGAGGTGTTTGAGGAACTTTAAGTAGATGAGCTTCCTGACCATACAACCCAAATGCATAGATATGATAATGAAGACCAGAATAAATTTCAACGTTTCCTCTGTAAAGTACTTTACCAAAGGCTTTTGGAGAGGCTAAGTTGCCTCTGGATAAAATGGAAAGCTTTGTAAGGAACAATTGTCAGCAGATGGAAGGAGAGGGCAGAAATAGTTCATTTGTTAATAGAAGGAGTAACCCATTGAATTCTGCAAGGTTCTGTGTTAACATTGGTGCACAGATATAAGGAAAAGGATTTAATAGTGAGGTGACAGAAGTTTGTAGATGTTGCAAACTGTGCTTGGGTTAGTATAATGGCTAGCTATTTAAAGAAAATTGCAGATGCTCAGGTTTTGGGTTATGTGGGTTGAAATCATATATGAAATTCAATGGAGGTAAATGCTGAGTAAGTGAATGAGAAGTAGGAAAGAGAATTGTTGTCGACAGTGATTGTCTCTGAACTAGTTCTAACCAACCATAAGTGAAAGGTGGAATTATCTGTTACATAAAGATCAATGCAGTTCTCCATAGCAGTGAAAAACAGCAAGACTTACTAGGAAAGGAATAAATAACAAAACATAAACATCATACTGCTTGTGTAGAAATTCATGGCATATGCATTTTGAATATTCCTCGTAGCGTTGGTATACTCTCCTCATCTCAAAAAAGGTGCAGTAGACTAAAGAGGTTCAGAGAGAAGCACTGAGAGTGATTTAAGGAAAAATAAAAAAGACTCGGCTTTTTTTCTTCTTCTGCCTGGGAAAAGAATGACTCTGAAAAAACAGAACAGTGATCTGTGCAATCATGAGTGAATAGTGAAGGTTTACTTATTACTCTCTTCCAAAGTACAAGAACTGAAGGAGCGAGCAGAGTACTATGTAGGAGCAAAAAATACCACATTGAATCAGGACAAACAAAAGGAGATACTTACTCATATAATGTATAATTAAGCTGAGGTACTATATGCTGCAAGATGCTGTTATGCAGTAAGTACCTCTGTGTGCACTGTTATATTTTGCTCTAGACATCTGCTATTGGTTTTGATTTTTTAAAAATTTATTTTCTGTCAAGACAGAAAACTCTGTAGAGTTAAAGTCATTATTTCTAAATGTATTTCCAACTACGTAAAGAAAAACATAGTAAGAAAAGACGTATTTAAATTATACCAAAATCAAAGCTGCTGCATAGGTTGTCACGTAGAAGTTGTGTGAGACAGCTCTTAGTTGCAATACTTAGGGCCCAGGGTGAAGAGTGCCTTGCCTTAATGAGTTCTGTCTCCAGGCTCTGGACCTCCTTCACTGAAGAATACCCCAATGCCATCATACTGTATGAAAATCACCTTACTGTTGGATGTTGAAGTAGATAAATCTGAAATTTGATGTAGTGTGACTGTTCTCAGGAAGTTCAGGTTTTTACTTAGCTGATGCTAACACTGAAATTTCAATTAGCATCAAATATTAATTCAGGTCAGTGTCAGATGTTGAATTAAAAAAAAAATGTGTATTATGTTGAAATTGTACTTGGGGCAGTTCAGAACTGTTGCTTTTATATGGAAAAATGAAATATGTGCTTGGGTACTAGGCATTTAAATAATAAATTTTAGGACCCTTTCTGCGTGTGGCACGTAGTTCATATCAGAGAAGGAACCCTTAAGTTTACAGGTGTCAGTAAAACAGTTGAAATCCTTGTAAACACACCTCACGTCATCATTTTTAATAGCTTGCTAACTTGTTGCATTAGTAATCAAGATGTTGACAGATACTCACCTGTATTTATTTAGAAAACTGTGTCACCACTGCATTGATGAACTTATTTTGTCAAATGATAGTTAAACATTGACATTAACAAACCAAATACTTGGGGAAAATATATACATCTGATTTACTCCTCTAGTTTGTGTTGACTAATAAACTCAGCTTGAAACCAAGACTTATCTTAACTTGTTCTCATTTCAGCTTTGGATAGATCACAGTCCAAGAGAGATGGAGGTTTTAAAAATAATTGGAGCTTTGATCATGCAGAAGAAAGTGAAGGAGATGCAGAGAAAGAGTAAGGATGCTTTTATCTAGGCTATTGAAAGTATAAGTGTCTATTTATAAATAAATACTTTTTTGTAATTTATTAATAAGAAACTATATAATATCTTAAAATTTTAAGTGATTAAGTAATTACTAAGTAATAAGTAATAACTAAGTAATAAGTGATTATTTTAAATAGTATTGTCATATAAAAACGCATTTTAATGTAAATTTAATTGTGACCATAGTGCTTACAACATGAGGCACAGCATGTTTCTGAAGTGTTGCAGTTGTGATCTAGAACTACTGTGTAAGTCTAAGGGCTACAGACAAGAAATATATTAACATGGGAAGTAAGGAAATGGAAAGGTGGGGTATCCGATCAGCTTCAGCTTTCCCTTTTAGTGATGACACTACTTAGCACTTCACAGTTATGATTAAGGTACTTCAGTAGCTGTAGGCCTACGTCAAGCTAAACTGAGCTTAAAAGACCTTAGCCTTTTCTCCCTCGTGCTTATCTCACTGAGTAAAGTCAAGGCTGTTTTTGTTCCCTGGTCATTTATTTCTTTAATTAGTATGTTTGGATTTTGACTCAAACTTACACCCTGTGAGTGTAGTTTGGTTACATACTTTGTCCTTGTGACATTCTATTGTTATTAATATGTTTTCTTGATATTAATGTATTTATTTCCAAAAAGACTAATGAATTGTTTAAAGAACAACAAGTTTCATGCATGAAGAATGCATATTAGGTTTATTGTTAGGTATTTGGAGAGCAGGACCTGCAAGTTTAAAAAGGATGCTATGGTTCTCTAAGAAGGAGAAACTGAATCCTGTGGTTAAGTGCAAAAATAATTCTTACATTAATTTACATCTTGACCTCTCTAATAGTCTAAATGAGACCACCATGGAGTTACACTTTTATTAGGCAGTATTGCTAAATATTGTGTATTGGAAGGGAGATGGGGAAGTAGACACATAAACACTTAAGTCTGTAGCAGTAATCTTAGAAAAACACTGAGAAATGTGATGTTTTAGTCTTTAAAAAATGAGTTCAGGAGTTCTTCAAAGTGTGAGGTAAACTTTTCTCAAAACAGGACTGCATCAGAAGTTAAAAGCACTTTTTAAAACGTTCTCAAACTTCAGGACATTTTAGTTTTATAAGATTAAGCATGTTTTAGCACTTTTGCATCCATTTCTGGTGCATAGTAATATGATTTAAGTATAGTGGCAGTACATACAATACAGTTAGTACTTGTGTTTTGCTTATCTTTGAAATAAAAGTAATTCACATTTGTAAGCATAGCAGCTTTTTTCTCCTAGTAATTTACTGCAGTTTTTTATCTGTCTCCAGCTGATGTTAAGAGCACAGAATGAGATAAGGATAGTGTAGTGATATTAAAAAGAAAAAAAGTTTATAGAACTGTTTATGGAACATCTAGTTTATATAATTTTATATGATATTAGGATGGTATTTCTGAGTGATTTTTCATTCCTTTCGAATATTCTGTATGATAAACAATTTTCATATAACCAGTATTGAAATTTCAATACCTGCTCGCATCAATAATTAATTTTTATACCTGTGAATTATGCAGAATCTTGTCTGGAAATATTAGATAAAAGAGTAGTTGAAAATTCCGGTGGAGATCTGGAGATCTTGCCTTTTTTGCTTACCCATCCTCTGATACCATTTCAGGCAACTTAACTGCCTCCAGACAGCTATATGTTTTCAGCTGCTCACATATTTAATTTCGGTAATACCTGTTTGATTTTTTTTTTTGGTCTTCATGTCTTTGAGCATTTTGAAATAATTTGTGTATTTTGCTTTTCTAATACATTTTTTCTTTGTATTACAAAATAGTGACAGAAAGGAATCTTTAGAAAACAAATGATTTGACAGTAAATTGCTCTTTCCTTCTAAATTCCCTTTGCCCTCAGCCAAACATTTCAAAGATTAGCAGCTTTAGTTAATAGAATTGTTTCAGCATAAAGCTTTGTGTCCCACCAATATTTTGAGTATACCATGCAGTAAGTGTGTATTCTGTTGATTTTAAGAAAAATGTCATTCTTATTTGCTGTGGTATGTGGATATTTACTAGCAGTGCATGTAACTTACTGCATTTCTGTGTGGAGAAAACTGTAAATCTGATGCATCTTATGCATGTTGCTGAGGCACTTGCATTTTAGCATCTGACCTTATCACAGCTTTTTACCCCCTTAATGGCAGACACACAGTAAGTTTGTTTTGAACTGGCCCAAGAATAACATTCCAGCACTTAAAGGATTGGCTGTATTCTTGTGTTACCATATGAGATCTGTGCTAATGTTGCTGCTCAGTACTGGATGTCTGCTTGGATTATCTTTCCTCAGAGAGACGAACACAAAATACGTGGCTATTGACCTCCTACCAGAGCAATTTTTGGAATAGGTAGATTATTTTAAAATAAGTGTGTCTTTTAACCTATTTGGGGAATTAGATGGGCTATGTCATAATGGTAAGGTGTCAAGTAATGAACACAAAAAGAGTAAAAAACTTCTGTAAACTGAGAAGATTTGTAAAAATTAATGATCATTAGTGATCACACTATATATATTTTAAAATGCTGCTAGGATTGATACTTGGCATGGAACCAGAGTTACGGAAATTCCAAATGGTAATTGGCACGTATCTTATGCCAAAGTAAATGCCTGCAAATAATCTTCTGTCCATTTGAAAGAATAAAAGTAATATTTTTGATGATTTACAAAATTTGATCTACTTAAGATAGCAATCAAGATGATAGCAAGCAGCTTGAGGCTTTTCTTGCTTTGTACTTGGACATCACACAGGAGAGGAACATGTAGAGTAATAGGGGAAAAAAACCCCCCCAGTTGGTCAGTTGAATACATGGAAAGCTGTGTAGACCATCACAGAATAAATTATGGAAATGATGTGTATCTTATGTAGCAGAAGACATGAAAGAATGTAAGTCTTATGCAAATAAAGTATTGTATTAATTAAATTGATTTCTGAAATTAACGTATTATAAGATGCTTTCTAGTTTTACAGATGATTGTTCTTGAAGTGTCCTGGATAATTTATATTTACTTTCTTTTTAATATCTGAGTAAATATTTTTGAAAGGTGTCTCAATATGCTCCACAGTGCTTTTGTAAACTGATGGACCTAGTTTTCTCTTGACTGTCATTCTGGGTTTTTTGTTGGTTTGTTTTTGGAGGTTTTTTCCCCAGTAGTCCAGAGTTGGGCCTTCCACTGAGGTTTGTTCAATAATAGCCTTATTAAAAAACTGAATACGAATACGTGGGTCTGATTATTTGCACTATGGTATCCTTCCTTCCTTAACTAACATTTTCTTTCAAAAACATTTTGCATTTTTTGCTTTCATTTTGGGGATAAACTGCTTGTTCCCTTTTATTCCTGACTGTGAAAGGAATTATACTTTTTTTTAAAATGCCTGTTTAGCTTTTTTTCAATACTTTTTTCCTTTTTATTCCTTCCTTACCCCCCCATGTTCATATAGATGTTTTATGCTTTTTTTTTGTGACCCTGTTAGTAAGACACTATAACATTTAAATTGGTAAAAACCTTTTTATTCAGAGCCTCAGTTCTTAATTTCTAGCAGTTTTACTTAAGGTTATTTAACAGGATAGCATTGTGCATGAGTTGAATAATATCACTGCTTCTCTTGTGCATCTGATATCAGGGCTTTTTTTAATGTGCTGCCTACCACCATGTAATTTAAAATAAAGAATGTACACAGTTCACTGCGAGGGGAAATATGTCAGCCTCCTGTTTTTATATATAAGAGTTTCAGGAAGAAGTTCCAATTACGTTTGAAACATGACTGGATCAGTGGGTGGTTGGTAGAAATACGTTTGCAGCTCACTGGAGGGTAACCTCAGTGACAAACAGAGGTTTAAAATTTGGGTTGCTTGTAGACAGTAGTAAAAACATGGTCTATTAAACTGAAGTATCTAACTAGCTATTGCACAGTTATTAATGTTTTAAAACATTAAATAAATGGTAAGTGATTAGATTTAAGTAAACAGATTTTTTTTTTTTCTCATTCAAGCCTACATTTGAATGTGTAATTATGAACTTCCCTTTGGAAGGAGCTCTGTTTACCTAAATTACTTGCTTCTATTTTTATTTTTTTTTTTTTAATTTTAGTAAAGACTTCATTTTTATTTGTTATAAAATTTTAATTAAAGTATTGAAAAGTTAGAAATTATTGTTCTAATGTGAAAATACCTCTCTCTAGTTCCTCAGTTAAAAGAGACAAAGTGTAGAGGCATAGCCTCTTCCCAGTCAGACCTCTGAAGTTTCATTTTAGTAGTGTTAAAAAATGTTACTATGTGGGAATGTGGTATAGGTGGGGGTTTTGTTGTTTTGTTTTGTTTTTTCCTGTCTGTATAAATTACATCTTTTAAACAGGCAACTGTAAGCATGTGATACCTGAGCAAATAGACATTACTCAGACGCCATGTATTCTGCTCTCTGAAAAATCAACCTTTCTGGTACCGATGGATATACTTTGCATTCCTTAAAATCTAAAAATATTGGTTCTTTCAGAGCTTCCAATTCCCACATATTTTTCTTGTTATGTCATCTTAGTTACATAAGAATTGTTCAGTTTGATTTAAAGGTTTTTCAGTGTTTTGTTCATTTGTAGTCTGTTACCTTGGCTTCTCTCTCACCCACCCAAACATCCAGTGGAGGGGAAAGTAAGGAGTAGTTACTTGATATATAAAGAGCTGAAGTCGTTGCTGTAGTACATCACAGTCAACACGTCATACCAGGAGCTAAGAAATGTTTCCTCCTTCACCTCCATCATTGTTTCTCTTCTGTAGCTCTTCCTTGGGACTCCTGGCATAACTGCTTGTGTTCTTAAGTAATTTCTGCCTGAATGATCTTAATCAAAACCCCCAAAACCATTAGGGACTTACAAGTTGTCTAAAGATTGTATTATGTTGTTGCAGCCAAGAGAGGAGTAACCTTATCAGGTACTAGTGAGAGGGGATTATCTGCAGGTTGCATCTCCTGGAAGCAAGAATGTATTAGCCTAATCTAGCTGCTTTCAGTATAAAATGTATGATTAGGGTTTTAATTTAAATACTTCAGATTATTTGAAGATGATTGCCTATTAATGAGGAGTAAGTTTTCAGAGTATTGTGGGATGGTTTTCTTTTTTTGTGTCTTCCTCATTATAATTGTTGAAGATTACAGACACACTGCTAAAGAAACACATTTTAGTGAGCAGTTGAGCCAAATTGAATACGCTACTTTTAGGAAGATTTCGTCATTAATTGCAGTGGGATAAAATACAGTTATACATGGGTTCTTCTAAAGAACGGTTAAGTTTGCAGTTTTAAACTACATATTGAAGATTGATATGCATGAACAAACTACGTTTTATAGGTTAATTTAGTATGTAGCTCACTTTATGCATAGGGTTATATAGAATCTTTTATGTTGTCAGTAACTTTGCCATAACAATATTGAAGTTTCAGTTGTATTCTCTGTTGTGAATTAATAACATCCTTTTCATTTTGTTTTTTTGTGAAATAATTTGAAGTACACTTTATGTTCAGGTTCACTAAATATATCTGGATCACTACGTTGTCTAGTTTATATTCCTGTAGTTTTGGGCATAAATATACAAAGTTTATGTGATATATTTAAATTTAAAGAGGGAAGAAAAAAACCCCATCCGTTTATGTGTTTAAAAATGTTTTGCTGGTGCTCTGTTTCATTACAATGTATCTACTTTTCTCTTCCCGCACCTATCTAGTGAGGCAAATCTGCTCAGCATAGATGACAGTGATGGGCCTTTCAGTCCCTATGAAGAAAGAAAGGTAAGTACTCTGTTTATCTCATGGTCAAAATGTATCTCTAAAGCTTGCTAGGTTCTTAAACAATGTTGCATAGTCATCTGTGCAGGATTACAAAATGAAAATTGTGTTTTGGTTTATATGCTGGAGCTGTTTATCTGTCTACCCTTAGTATTTTTTTTCCTCTGACTCTTGTAGGTCTTGTTGGTTTATATAGTATTCTGAAAATATGAGCATGAATAACTGTTTTTAAGTTTAGACAATTATCATTAATAGGATTATATTTTTAATTAAAAATATTAATCATTATATCCCATGACTGTTTACTGTTAGATTCCCAATTTTGTATGCATTTGTGTATGTATATGTGTGTGTGTGTATATATATAAAAGGAGAAGAAACATAGGCAAAAGCCATGCTTCTTTTGTTTTTTGATTTGCACAGAAATAGTGCACTTCTGCAAGATGCTTCATAATACTTTGAAAATATTAATATTTTGTTTAGTAAGAAATCATCGTGAGTGTGTAGACGTATATTTTACAGGAAATTTGGTACAAAAGCGGTCTGAAAATGAAGCCAAAGTAATATTTATTAAGTATTTTGTAATGTATTTTCTTTTAAACTTTTATACCAGTATTTTAATATATGTGAATTCTCACGTTACAGTCACTTCGTTGTCGGCCTGGAGCTGTCGGCACCAGTGGTGATTCCATAAAAACTTATGCAAGGCGAGGCAAAGCTGGAAGCTTGAGATTTTTAAAAGGGAACGCAATTGGCCTCAACATGATGGGAAATAGCAAGAAACTGAGGTACTGCATTTAGTTTTATGCACACTTACCTACTTGATCATTGATATAAATGGATGCTAAATGAACAGAATTAGATTGATAAGTTCTTTTCTCTTGCAGAATGTTAAATAGCACAGTAGTAAAATAGCAGAAGATTATTAGAGCATTCACTGGCATACTTGTCAGCGCCTTACCAATGTTGTCTGCATGTGCTATTGTTTACTCCATACAGTGTTAGCAAGTAGAAGAATATTTCTAACATCCCTATCAAGAATTTCATGTTTCAGTGGCTGTGAATTGCCAAGGTTAACTGAGGATGCATTGTCTGTTTTCGCTACTGCAAAATACCATTTGATTTAGGAGTCACAAAATATTCCTTTAAAGGATTCAGCAAATATCCATTTTCCTACATGATCACTTGAGATTGTTACTTGCATTTAGATCTGACAGGAACAATATTTAAGCATTCAGTGCTGTACTTGTTTGTTACTGCTGTCCCTAGATTGTAACAGACTCATCTCTTTAGTATATAATAAAAAATGATGTGTTCAGGTAACTTTGTCTGGGAGTGTTTCATATTGCTAAAACGCACTCAATTTGGTTACCTCTGCAGGCAGGAAAAATTCATAAGATAGCTAGTTATAGTTGGGCTAGTCATCAAATACCTAATCCATGTGTAGCTCTATGAGGGATGCCCTTGTCTTCATTCTTCCATGCTGATCCAGAGAGCATTGTTGATTAGTGGGACCACTTGAGAAAATAAATCCGTGAATCCTCTCCTGCTGTTCTGACCTTTGAGCCTGATGTACAGGAAACAAATCCAGAATTTCCAGTCTGGACCGATGGTCCATCAGTTTGATAGAGAAGAACAAATACAAGAACTGTATTTGTACTTTAGTCAAAATAAGGACTCTTCTTGCCTTTATGTTGTCATTGTAACCTGTTCTCAAATATTAATCTGTTGTGTTGAATTTCAAAACTTAGATGACTGTTCACCCGCTACTGTAACCAAATGTGATACACACCTCACTAATTTACTTTTTCTATACCTTTTGGATGGTCTTAAATTCATGCATGCTCTTAAATTTAAAAACAAAACAAAACCGCCCAAAAAAACCCAACCCCAAAACAAAACTAACCCCTGCAGATCCCAAGATCTTTTCTGAGGCCAGTTGTGAACATTTTCTTGGTAAGGATTCTCCTGTAAGGACCACATAAACAATAGTTTAGCTTACTAGGTGAATTAAAGATATTCTTATCCTGCATTCTTTTTTTAGTGGCTTAGTTTTGATAAAGAACAGTGAAACCTTCACTGATTAGTAAAATTCTGCACTTGTAGTAGTTCAAGTTATTATAACCAACATGGCATTGTATAGGGGATTGTTTGGGTATATGTAATGTGTATTTGGAACAGTAGCTACAGGAGAGTATGTATTATATACTAGGTTATTTTGAATAAGCTTCATTGTCTGTCTCTGATATTTTATTTACATTTTATTAAGTTTTCAATCATGAACTTGTCTGAAGAGTCATGATTTCTAGTTAAATGTTATATTAATGAAGACAAAAAAAAAAAGAGGCATGTTGACTTATATAAAAGTATTAATGTCTCCCATCCCATCTCAGTTTAAAAATTCACCTCTACCCATAGAGTTTTGTTGTATAGGGCTTGTTCATACAAGCCTAAACCAAAACCACTGCCTTTCCAGAGTCCAGTGAAACATAAAACTAAACACTGCATTCTCTCTACGGATGTTTCAGACCTGATCAGATCAGATTCACAGATCTGTGGTTTCTAAGATATATATTGTTAATAAATATATTGTGTATACATATATATAAAGCTTTATATATATAAATAAACTCTCTCTATATAACTTTCTGACTATTGCATTGCCATAGTTTTAGTGTTTTGTGTTAATTTTCTTGAAAATGCACTGAAACTTGCAAACCCAGATTTCAGTTTGGATATGCCTATTTTGCAACTTGCTAGAACTTTATGTTTACATTTTCTGGTGATTCTGTCTGCACTGGGTGTGTTGGATTCAAAGAACAGGATTATAGAGCAGATTGTATTTTACAACTGTCCTACTTGGAAGCGTATCTGACACCATATGAACCATTTAAGTGTGCCATCTAGAACAGTGCTTTGACTCAAACCTGATCACCCAGCAGGCTGCGATACACTATTCCAGCATCTGCTGGAGTTTCTCACTACTTGAGTGTGAGGCAGAAAGCAGAAGTGCTGCTTAACAGTTTTTTGTGCTGTGGGGGCACAAGACTTAAGAGTTTCCCTATCATGATAGTTTGACAAAGCTCAGGTACAACAAATAAAATGATAAAGCACGAGATAGGTTTGTTTATAGACTTGCTTGGTTGGCTAAAGTCTGTAAGTCTTAAGCATTTGAGAAGGCATTCCTTCGTTCTCCTTGTTTTCTTTTCTAATATCTCTTTCAAAGACATTAAACTGGAAGCCAGAGAGGATTTGAGGCACCCTAAAATATTTAGGGCAACTAGCTCTCAGCTTTTTATTTCTCAGGTGACAACATTAAACAGAAGATTCACTGTAGATTAGTCTGGATGATGACTGACCAGCTGGAGTTGCATAGTCTTGACTTCGAAGCACATGGGATGAGTGTGTTTACTTTCAGGAGGCTGGTGATTGAATGGAACGCTCCTAGTTTAGTTTTGAGAAAGTTGAACTGTTAACTAAGAACATTTGTCATGTTTCTAAACTTCTTATTCCAGAAAAGAGAGTTTTACTATTTGGTTGGTTTTAATAGGTCTTGTTCTGCTATGTTCATAATTATGTCATGATCAGTCAGATCATAACAGTTATCATTCAGAAATGCTCTGGAAACTTCTAATACTGACTTATGATACTTGATATAAGGCTCCCAAAAGAGTTTGTAGTGCTAAACTGAAAAGAAATTTAAAAAGCAAGCTATTTGGTCACTTTCATCTTTTGGAGGAATGTAAAGGAAGGATTAGGAATTGGTTGTCAGCTTTTGGAGAAGTTTTGGTACTTCAGGATTTTTTTATTGTTCACAATGACAGATTTCAGGAGCAAAACTTCTGCTGCGTAGTATTTCTGAGAAAAATTTTGAATCAATCAGAATGGTTTTTCACATTTTATTTACTGCAATTAAAATTTCCATGCAATTTTACAGGTAAAATTTAAGCGTTGCATTGCCATTATTTGAAGCAGTTAGCATTTATCAACAGGCTGTCTGTTAAAGGTTGCATGTTTTTTGAACACTTCAAATGTAATATTTTGTGTCCTGTCACAGAAGTGTGCAGGATAATTGTTAGGATCTAACGATCTTCAGAGGAGTACTATATTATTGATCTACTGTATCTTTATATCAGCTTTTACTGGAGAGGGTAATGGTAAGTAATCTTCTCCCCAGATTTACTTGTTTTACATAGTAATGAGATAAAAGTGTGAAAAGGCAACAAATGAAGAAACCTAAGAAATGCTAAAAGACATTGATGAATGTACTGTCTCTGTGGAGCGTCCTGCTGAGATATTTGAACACCTGGGAATTCTTCTCTTTTCTTTTTGAGATGTGTTGTGTTGTTTTAGTTACCATCTATCTTACATCCATAAATTTGCTGGTTTTATTTCCCTTTATTACTGATTCAGAAATACTTTGCTGGTTTTTGGGTTTTGGATGGCTGTTACTGTAAAAGCAGGACACTACAGTTTTTAGCTAAGACAGTGTACAAATGCACCAGAGTCTTTTCTTAAACCGTTTTTCTGTATGTTTGCAGTGAAAATGCTCAGAATGTGTCTTGTCCTGTAACTGTGGTACATGGTAGACGTTTTCACCATGCACATGCACAGACAGCAGTAGTAAAAACAGCAGCCCAAAGGTAAGACTACATTTGTTTCTCCAGATGTTCCAGTTGTAAAATGTCCTTTTTGGTTTTGTATGTAATGGTTTTCCTTATGTTATAAAGTGTTTTAAGGAAGCAAAAGTAATTACATGACGCATTATAGAATCATAGAATAGTTTGAGTTGGAAGGGACCTTTAAATGTCATCTAGTCCAACCCCCCTGCAATGAGCAGGGACATCTTCAACTAGCAGGTTGCGTTCTTGATCGTGACCTTTGATCTTAGTTACTAACGTTTCATAAAACTTACCATTTAGGACTTTGTGTATTATGTAATTCTAGAATTTACTAATTTTAAAGCACACTATTACACATATTCAGGAGGAGAGCGCCTGCTAATATAATTGTGTTTAAAAAGTACTTTTAAATGGACAAAGTAGTATGAAGTAGAAAATCACGTAACTGACAACATGATCATCAAATGCTAATTCACAGAAACTCTGGCTTGTATAAGATCTATCTGAAGATTAAGTTATAGATCTTTTGATCATATATAGTCTGTAAATACAGCATAAAATATATAAACTGGGGCATATCAGAAGCAAGATTTTGCATTTATATAAATAGTTGTTAGAATGGATGATTGGAAACTGGGAAATCTTACTCAGCTATTCTGAATTAAACTTAATTGTTTTGGAAACTTAAAACTACGTCAGACTTCTCTAAATTGCAGGGTTGTTTTAATTTTTTTACAGGGTTTTCACACCCAATGTGCATCACAAACATATGAGCTAACCATTGCTTTAAGGAATTTTCTTTCCAAATTTGTTCATTCCGAGCTCTTTTTATCTATAAATTTCAAGGATTTACACCAGCCCATGTGACTGCATCTTCTCAGCATTTTGAAGACTCCTTCTTCTTCCCTCTTTTTTCCTCTCTGTTTTTTTGTGTAGGTTTTTTGGGGTGGTAGGATCATACGTAGGCATCCCCCTCTTTTTTGTCCCACTTCTCTCACTTTCATTTGCTGTCTTCAGGAAAACAAAGCCCATATACTTATGTGAATGAATGATGTGATCCAAACGTGTATTAGAGTAATCTGGCATTGAAGAAACAGACTGAAAAATGGAATTTGCAGTCCTGTCCCTGAGGACCTACACCATTGTTGCCTCCTTCCATTTCAGACTGTACTATCATCTGTAAATGGAAAATAGCATGGACATTTCCTTCCTTTAGTAACAGCAGATGCAGCAGTGGAGATCTCCCTTTTCTTTACATTTCTTCCCATCATAGCATGGCAAGGATGACTAAGGAGGATTGGCAGAACTTTTCCCACAGATTAAACTGAAAGGCAAGGCTTATGTTAACAGTGTGGTTTAGGCTGAACCACCTGTGCTCTTTTCTTCTTACCTGCAGTCCTTTGTAGAATATTTTTGTTCAGTGTTCCATTGAGGAAAGCATGGGACATCTCGAAGCATTCATGCCCTTAGCTTTCACTTTTTTTTTTTTAATTCTAAGGGATAAAATCTTGATCTGCAGTGCTAATTAAAATGATCTGAAGTAAGCAAAATCATGTGAGACTGCTCTTTCTTGGATCTCTGAAAATTGCCCTTAATATTATTAGTGTGTTTGATTTCAGCTTTATTGTAAGATGGTTCTTTGAAACAGCCAGTCAGCCTGGATTCATTTTATCTAGTTAGGTGCTGTAAGCTTCTTCAGCATGCAAGAGAGCCTGCTCCAGAGGTTCTCAATCTTGAGAGGATGTTAGACTTGCCTGCTTGCTTTTCTCACCTATGGGACTTGCTTCTTTATAAGCTTACAATGTAATGGGGGTTGGGGGGAAGTAGTGACTCCGTATGTGTGACACATGGAAAGAAAACTAATGCATAATATAGGCAAGCTGAATATTGCATGAAGTAATTGAATACTTGTCATCTCAAATGTTTCTAAATATGTTTTCTTTTAGGGTTGTTACTGTAGTTCATTCACATTAACAACAGATAATTAACTTTTATGCTAAGAGTTTCAAAGGCAGGAAATATTCATAACAATTGCAAGCAGTGTTTTGCTGCTGGAGGATGGCAGAACCAGCATGATCTAATTGACTGAGAGTGAGTTTTATAGAGGAACTGTGCAAAGGATATTTAATTCCAGCATCTTTTGCTCTTTGACTCAATTGGCTACTTTTTGAAAGCTTTGTTTCCAAGTTAGAGGATTGAAAATGAATAGAACATGGCCATCTGTCATACTTGGTTTTTTTTTTATTAAGAAAAGAGGGGGAATCTCAATGCTAATCAATATGGAAAATGGAAGTTTATGAATGGGAAGACTATAGTTGTTCAGGGGGAGGGAGGGAAAGGACTATTTAAAACTGTCCATAATACAAAATTCCAGTGCATATAAAGTGAGTAATTTTTTGGTCATAGATTTCTAGTTTTTTGTGAATTTTTTATAACTTTTTTGCTAGTTTTTACTGACATGAGACAATAGTTGAGTTTAAAAATCAATTCTGATGGTGTGTCCTCAGAAAGGAGTATATTCAGAAAATGTGAGTGAGAAACCAAGAATAAAATTCTAGGTATATATCAAAAAAAGAAAATCTGGTAGCATGGAAGTTGAGTTCTAAGGTGTTGTGTTGTTTTGTTTTTTTTTTTCTTACACTAATTTACATGTTCTTTTACATTGTCTGCATTTGTAGAATTGTTTTATGGTAGGTGAGCAGTAACAACATGGGGAAAATAGTTTTATCTAACTTAACATATTGTTCTTAATTTTATAGTGGATTATTGAAAGGATAACCAAAAATAAAAACATGATTAAATTAATTCTGAGCAGATTGAGCCTCTGGCATTGACGTTACAGATTCTGTTATTTGTACTAGGTTCTTTGAGTGGGGATGGTGTCACATGGGGCAAGCTAATTATGAAACTCAGTTGTAATCTCTATCAGGTTGAATTTGGAGCTTGTGATGTGTACTGTATTTCTCATTTCTTTGTCCAACTTCTTTGCATATGCATGTTAATTTAAATTCTGGCTGTATATCTGTTGCACTCATATTTAAAATATAAGTTTCCGGTACAACAAAATTGGGCATTTCAAAATAATATTTTGATAAATATTATTCATGTTTTTTCCAGTGGAATCTGGGGATGGAATTAAAATTTGTTCACTTCTGATACAACAGATTTTCAGATACAGCTTCGCCTAGTGTTATAGTTGGTTCAAACAATTTTGCTTCATTTAATGGACACATAGTTCTGTCTTATGCTATTGGCTGACTGTTCTCTAAGACTTGGCATTGGAATAGCACGTATGTACAGCATGTCTAACAAATCTTATGCATGAGCTGCATGAAGCCATTTGTAGGGACACTGCTTGTTATAATTCCTGGATCTGTCCAGGATTCTTATTTCTTAATCTTTCAGAGATGTAAAAGGAAGAATGCTTTTAAATGCATTATTTTAATACAGGTTTTAAAACAAGCCAGTGAGGCATCTAACGTAATGACGGTGTACAGTATCAGGCATTCTGGAAAGTCTTTTCCTGCTTTTAAGTTTCCTTAGCATTAAAATTTACAATTCTTAACAGTTGGACTCTACAGCACCTGTAAACAGTTAATCTGAGTTACGTATTAACTGTGCCAAGGATGCAAAGGTGCTGTGTAAGGCTCCATATGGACATGGTTTGGATCTGACTGGATTTATAAACTCAGATGTGACTTGCACAAAACCAGTGTTTATTGTTTATAAAGGCTAGCTCCAGTTGGAAGCAATTTTTTTCCCAGTTTCATAGGGCATTGACTGATTACCCCCACCCCAGACTTAGTTGCAGTGATCACACTCAGTTTTGAATTCCTTTTACTGTCTTCTCAGAACCCAGAGCACTGTGGAGATAGAATTTGTTTTCACACTCTCTGGATTATCAGGATTACCTTCTTACCTGGTTTGCTTTCAATCCTGCCATTCGTCTGGGTAACAGAATTAGAGAGAGTTTGCTCTATTCTTGTGAGTGTTCTGTTTGCGAAAAGGAAAGGAAAATGAGTTTATATTACTCTTTATTACTCTGTTTAATTTGACTGGAGTGTAACAGGAAACAGTTTGAATTTGGTCTGGTTTAGAGTAGTGTTAATGTAATGCATATACGACAGAAGTTTGTTAGGCTTTTGATATTTGGGGGATCAGCTACGTAGATTAAAAGCTTACAGCATTCCGTATTGCAAATTTTGAAAGGCAGGGGAGATAAAGATACTGTTTTCAGGCTGTCTTCATGCTGTCCTTAGTTTGATCTATTTTTATATCAGTTTTGGTATACAAAGGCCCTGAGTTGGGAGCACCAGCTATTTTCATTGATGTTAAAGGAAACCTGGAACTAGTGGCCCTAATTCTTAGGTATTTTGGAGATTCTTTTTAGCCAAAACCTCAGGAGGAGGTTGATTGCTTCTGCTTATCCTGCTCTATCCAGTAGCTTGCTTGCACATGGTCTCCTAAATATTTAGATAGCGCTTTCTGATTTTTTTTCCTCAATTTAAACAAATATTTTTTTGAATAGTTGGAAACAAGTTGTTATGTAAATTTGCTTTATCTTCTTTTGCATGGCAATCGGGTTGGAAATGAGGCTTGATCCTAATTCATGTATTAGGATTCTGTCATGTCAGGTTCTGCATTGCAGTGAATTAAGTGAGATGACCCTGTTGAGTTCAGAATGAATCAGATCTTACACACTGAAAAAGAGGGAAGACAATGCAGCGTTTAGACCACTGACTGTTGCTGTCTGCAAAGTAACATTTGTTTGTGCGTTTATAATGAATGTTACAAAAATGCTGTGAAAAATAATAATGCTTATTTGAAAACTAATCCAGTGAGTGCAAGAGGCAATGAAACTGTTACAGTTCATATTTAATAACTTTTGAATTTAGTGATGTGCAATACATGTGGGGCTTTGCATCTTATGTTTTTTTTTCTTTTTTCATATTCTAAGCAATCTGGACCGAAAAGAAAGGTAAGCTTACTGTTGATGAAATGAGCATGACAACGAGCATTAA